TGTTCAAATCGGTTCATAATTGGCGGAGTTATCGCGTAACAAACATAGAAAAAAAAAAACATACGGGTCGAATTGAGAACCTCCTCCTTTTTTGAAGTCGGTTGAAAAAGCAAATCGTCATACCTACTGAAAAAACATTGCAAAACTATTTTTTGCTATTACAAAAACAACATTACGTTTAAAAGTAAAACGTCAGTAACATCCACTTGCTTATTACTTTTTATGGAAATAAATTAAAGTTGTTTAAATATGCACAAGATTTTTTTCAGTATTGTAATACAATGGTATTAGTTACCTCATGAAAAAAAATCTTTGTAGATCAAATTCTCAATATTTAAGTTGAAAATGTAATCTCGGTTTGAAACTAAGTAAGCGAAGGTTATAAAATAACCGAGTAGGTACTAAAAATAAGACTTTCTAGAATCATGAAGGTTAGTCTAATAAATAAATAACTAAAAAATAAGTTAACGAATAAAATTGTAGCAAAATTTCAGATATATCATAATAATATTCAAAAACACAACAGTTCATCCGGAAAATTCATACCTAATTATTCCAGACTCCGTATAAATCAATTCCAGACTGGATTTATAGTTCCTTTCCTTTATCCTAAATTTCTTACCCCACAAACAAATATCAGCCCTATTCTTCAAGTGTAGGGTATATTTTCAATGAGAAGGAAGGATTTCAAATGAAATAATCATTTTTCACTTAAAACAAAGCGATGTCAACCTAACTGTGGACCGAACATTAATATTGTTTATAAAGGGAAATTTAACCCATTGCAAATTGTTTAATATCTCAGCAAAATAATGGTTTAATTAAAATGGCGAGAATTGAATCAACTAAAGAATGTTTGGAGTATAAATTGGTGGAACGTTTTTTTTTATGACAAGCGTTTTTTCAGTCCACACTGTACCTCTACATATAGCGCTCCAAGGCTACCTACAAACGTAGTAAATATAAGCTGGCAATTGGACATTTCCTATGAGGTAGACAAAATGAAATCAGTGGTTTTAATTTGTATAATACCTACTCGTAGGTACTATGCATGCTGCTTAATAATTAGTATACTTAATAATGTATTGTTTGAATCAAAAGTGAATGGACCTGGTGTGGCACATTCATAAAAATTACGACTTTGTATTTGTGTCAGCGGCACTATTATCGTCTTTTGAAAATTATAAATAACTTGAAAAAATCAATATAATTTTCAAATTAGTTTTGAGATACGACTCTTAACGCTAAAAAATTAAATAATAACTATTATTGTCTCTCAAGCTCCTAATCGTAATTGACGTGATTCTAGACAGGTTTTTCCAAGGCGCATTCAAGCAAGTGAGCTGTTAGCTCTTCCCCCTAGTATAAAACCATTTTCTTAGTTCCTAGCGACCCATACTTACTGACTCAGCACAGCAACAGTCAACCTCTGAGTGGAATCAGTGGAAAGACTTTTAAACTTCACCATTTTCAGCCACAGGACGTCCACTGTTGAATAGCATCCAGCATTTTCCAGCTACCCTTATGACTTTCAAACTTATCAAAGAAGAAAGTTGTCAAAGATTTCTTCTTTTTTCTTTCTTCCCCACATGGAAATTCTCCTAAGCGAAACCGCAGGCAAAAGCTACCATGCAAGTGAATATTATAAATCGCAATTTAATACTGTCGGTCAACATCGGCCATGTTTGCTTGGTGTCCAATCAGGTAATGGCTTGTCAGGCTACAGGGTTTCAGTGATGTGTATATTATGGGGACTTGAAGGCAATATTATAATGGACGCCATCTAAACTAGAGATCGTTATGTGATACCTTTATGGTTGGGTTTCATTGGTTAATAGATCCTGGCTGGAAAGAAGTTGCAGTACCTAGTGGGAAACGTAGAGTAAAATCACATCGTCATATTTCTTCCTCTTTTTTATGGGAAACGGATCACCTGATGGTAAATTATTACCGTCACCCATAGACACCCGCAGCCCCGGAGTTACAGGTGCTTTGCCGACCTTCAATTAAGGTGTCAGTACGCTTTCTTCTTGAAAATTTGTAGGTTTTTTTAATTTATGTAGAGTGGTAAATAATCATATTTCATGCTGGCTCCTAGCACCGAGAGATATTATAATAGTCATAATAAAGAAGGAACATAATATACACACTAAAGGTTTTAAAATCCTAAAGGATCAGCCAAACTAACGCGTGCAGCCTGCATGCGCGATTGCGATCAGTTGTCGTGTATGAATTTGTAGCGATGAGTTAAATAAATTAAAATAAAAAATTGCAACATGCCATTTTTGTTTGCTAATAGGTAACAAAGGTATCACAAACATAACAAGGTCGCCAAATTACGTGCATTAACTCATTCGTTACGAACTAATTCTGTTTATAAAAAGATTGAATTACCGCGAACGTTGCGCCACTGCACTATTTTAGAAATTACCAGGTGATATTGAACCTTCTCAATCTTAAAATAAAGTCTAAATTCCAACTCTAAATAACCAATGCAACCTGCTGAACCGAATCCAAGGATGCCACAATTTTTTGTGGACACAATCAGTCAAGTGACAAAGGTCATATCAGATTCAATAGACCTAGTTTTGCACTGCATTATTTTGTTTTGGTCAGTCAAAGTGGTCAGTTGTGGTAGTGTGACGCAAGAAAAAGAAATGGCGGAGAAAATTCAAATTGTGTTGTGTTTTTTGGCTGTGGCAACCTTGGTGGGAGGCGTGGCTGTTGCTAACGGTAAGGATGTAAAAATATTTCTGCAGACATTTTTGGGGCTGAAATTAATATTTCAGCTGAAATAGTTCGATAGATAAATAAATAGTATAAATACTACTGTCAATAAACTAATACACCCAGACACGGACTCGATACCTAAGCAAAGGCTGAAAAATAAATTCTTACACCAAATCTTGTTTCAGAAAATATTTCGCTTAAAATTGTAACCATGTTAGATATTTACACAGATTAGTCAAAACAGAATAAAACATTCGGGCAAAGTCATGGGCCAGATGTTGCTGGCAGTTTGGCCAGCAATCCTTTTTGATAATTGTTTATGGTTTTTTACTTTTTTTAATATTGTTTTTTGGATTTTTGAAGTTGCTTTTTGTACTCTCTCGTGTTAATGTTTTGAGCTGCAATATACCTACTGTTTTGGCCCTTTTTTGGAGTTTTTCCATAAATTGCTTCTTCCATCGTTTTTAACATTGGTCCTCCGATAGGAGAGGTGAAGGTACCATGCTCACTAGAAGCAAGGTAAAGAACCAATCAGGTAACCCTACAGAGCCCCAAGCCTCAGAGGTATGTGTAGATCCTAGTGTCACGGTGACTCAAGCAGGTGGAGGTTCGCTTGGAGCCACTCCAAGCGTCGATATCTCCACCTCAAATGCTGGAGGTACTCACTCTAATAGGTCTAAAAGAGGCTTGTATGTACATTGAAAGAAAAATAACATTGTGTTAAATAAAAAGGTAAGGTACATAGTTACGTCATTTACTACGCACGTCACCTTTGAATGAGTACACAATAATATCCTTGTGCGTGGTGTCCCGCCGAAAATCATCGACCTACTGAAGGCCATCTACAGGAAATATTCTTGTACGGTGACTCACGACGGCCTCATCTCCGAAGACATCGAGGTGCATGCGGGCGTCCGGCAAGGCTGCCTGCTTTCGCCCCTTCTCTTTCTGGTTGTCTTGGATGGAGTCATGAATCGCGCATATCAAGACCAACGGCGTGGAATAGAGTGGGGTATAATCGGAGTCTTAGAAGACTTAGATTATGCCGATGACCTCTGTTTGCTGAGCCACACGCATCACGATATGCAATCCAAACTTGATGACCTACATCGAGAAGCGGGTATCACAGGGCTCAAAATTAACTGCCGGAAGACCCAAGAGATGCGATCTGGTGTGAGAAATTGCACGCCATTACGGATTGGTGCAGAGGATGTGGCACGAGTCCACAATTTCACCTACCTCGGGAGCGTCGTGTCAGAAACTGGAGGTACCGAAGAGGACATCACTTCGCGCATTGCCAAGGCCAGAGCTACCTTCGCACAACTTCGCCCCATATGGCAGTCACGGAAATTGACCCGAAGGGTCAAGATCAAAATATTCGGGTCCAACGTTAAATCCGTTCTGCTCTATGGGTGTGAAACGTGGAAGGTCACCAAGGTTATCTCGCACCAGCTGCAGGTCTTCATCAACCGCTGCCTTCGCCGAATTCTCGGCATATACTGGCCCGAGAAAATCTCCAACGTCGAGCTATTGGAACGCTGCCACGAAATTCCGATCGACCAGCAGATCAAGCGCCGCAAGTGGAACTGGATTGGCCACACTCTCCGAAGGGACCCCGATCACATCCCTAAGCAGGCTCTGGATTGGAATCCCCAAGGAAAACGCAAACGTGGTCGACCCAGGCAAACTTGACGGCGCACTGTAGCGGACGAGGCGAAGAAGATCGGCAAGACCTGGAGCGAGATCAAGCGAGAAGCTCAAGACCGAACGAGATGGAGGACTGTTGTGGACGCCCTCTGCCCCATCTAGGGGACATAGGACCATAAGTCAAGTCAAGTAAGTCACAGAGTAATGCATTATGCTGCAATTGTAATGACAAAAGAAAAACATTTCCGTATCTAGTGCACAATAATAATCTTATTTACATATTAATTTATGAAACAGTCGCAAGTTTGCAGAGGTTATTAACTTATACATATAAATGACTTTTGTCTCGTTGTTTAAGAAAATCGATTCTCTCTCTCATTGATTACCTAAATAGGTTCTTACCAATACCTTTTCTTATGTGCCTTACTTTCATAGGCTGAGTTTTATTGGCGGCCAAGTTTTAGTCAATCAATCAACACACGAAAGTTACGGGTTTCTTTTTTGTTTTACGCTTATTGCCGTTTTCAGGTAGTTTCAGTTGTAATAATTGTCTCTTTCTTTCTTTCTTTGTTTTGCGGTAGTTCATTGTTTTCTCTGAATGCTTTATTACTCTGTGTAAAACTTCAGTTGTAGTCTTGTTTATTTAAGTCGCAAATTGAACCAGTTGTTACCAGTTTACGTACAAGATCAAGAAAACGCACTACTTATTACCTATTTGGTATTGAAATATTAATTAATATTATCATTAACTTCACTCTGGAGAACAAAATGAGTCTAAGTTAAGCGTATAAAAGTTATTATTTACACCTTCATAAAAAAGAGAAAATCTGAATAATTTAGGTTCTTACTAGACCTAAAAATGAGAGCAAACACTTTTTTGTTGGTTGTTTTGTTGGGAGTGATATCTTTGATGAATTGCAAAAACGCTAAAGGTAAGTGTTACATACATTTAGATAGATATTGCGGTAGGTAATTAATTCAGCAGTTTTCTTTGTGTTAGCTTATTGTTAGTTGATCAGTAATTTTTATTAATCGGTTATGATTTTCTTAAGAACATCCTGCAGTTTTCTGTTTCGGCAGAGGCCAGCTGGTATACAGGTCCCGCCAGGAAATTCTCGGACTAGGCCCTTCCTGAAACAGTTGGATATACAGAGTAACTATGATATCTTTTAGGAGTCATAATACTTACCTAATATTTCACTTAACTACGACGACCTTTTGATTTCGGGTCACAGCACTAACCATTGAGACGAAGTAGCTGTTAAGAAATCTGTTCAAAGTTTTCAGAACCGGTCACTGAGGAAATCCTAATATCATTGTCCAACAGTCTTTCAGCTCAGATGAAGAAGTGACCGAAAAACGTAGTGATAGTCGTATTATCTTGATCGTGGGTTATGTAACTAATATTAATAAGATTAATAACATCATCAGATTATTTGGTCGCCACTGCAGGACGACCATCTCTAAAACCAGAAGCAAATGGAAGATTTGGCATACACTCCTCAAGTTGGCCAGCATAAAAATCGTTCCTTTCAACCTAATGCCGTCCATTACATTTTCTGGTTCATTGTAGCCACTAAAAACTTATGCCCTAATCACCTAATGAAATAGTTAATAGTTAAGTACGCAGCGTGGGACGCCCACCCACAAGGTGGACCGACGACCCATAAAGGTAGCAGGAAAGAGCTGGATGCAGGCCGCTACCAAGCGGACAATATGGAAATCATGGGGGAGGCCTATGTTCAGCAGTGGACGTCCTGTTGCTGAAATGATGATCATGAATAGTTACTTGCAATAGCACCCGGACTGGCAGTATGGCAGCCGTTTGGGGAGCGACCTGACCCGGTCCATTCTGTCTGCCTGCTGCCAGCAGCTGTACTCCTCGTGGAAGGCGCAGGACTTATGGACTTCATCGTGGGGACACTCCTTTCCTAAAGCCAGACGCATATTGTCGATTTTATTTTTAACTTCTATTTTAGTTCTAGAAAGTTTATAGGCATCAGTCACTGCAGGACATCAGAATAACCTCTTTTATCTCCATAGTGAGATTCCAGTGACCGCGCGTCGTCACAAAGTGCTGCACTTTTGAGCACTCATTGACGTCACGGGCCTCTACTTTGGCGCGCTTTCTCTTTAAATTTTCATTAGTTTCAAAAAGTGAAAAATACGTTGATAAGTAACTGACGGTCTAATTAAAACTCTTGCTTTTTTACCCAAGAAATATACATATTTACAGTAAATCTGAATGGATATGATCTTGACTCCAAAGTCGTATTTGACCTCGTACAATCCAGATTAAAGTTTCAAATCAAAATTTAAGTTTAAAATATTCATTGGATTTCACAGTAATGTAGTAAGAGTACATTTCACATGATTAATTTATTTAACTAACCAAATTACTTACTTAACGTAATAGATTCGACCGCAACAACAGCGTGAAAACAAATCACTAAAATGGTTGCCATTGTTATGGATTAGCCCGAAGTCCGACACAATCCTCATCAAAATAAGAAAACGATTAAGGAAGTCATTATAAACGTAATTAGCCGAGTGTGAAATGACTCGGTGATTAACTTAACTGCGGGCAGCGAAGCGTTTAGGTAAGTATTGGTTGATTTGCGCGAGGAACGCCGCGTCTATTCGCTAGTTAAGCCAGCTTTATCCTTACGGGTTATTCTTTTAATTAGAAATGAAGGAAATAAATGTGAACGTTTAAGGTTCGGCCAAACCAACGCGTGCAGCCGGCGTGCACGATGGCGATGGCGATCAGACTTAAACGTATTGATCGCCATTGCCATTGCCATAGCACACGCAGCAGGCTGATTGTGTTGATTTGGCTGAAACTTCACGGCTTACTTCGTAAATTCTAATTAAACCGTAAGCCAAAAAGTAGTGTTGTACCTACTGGCAGGATAAGCCCGTAACTAATTGTGGTGGCAAACGACCAAAATTATTTGTGTTGGTAATTAAAACTCCACACAATATTATACCTACAGCTGTAGCTACGTGACCACAATATTTGATGAAATACTTATATTTGTGCTTATGTTATTAAAAAGTTAGTTTGATGCTCATAATGTTGAAACGCGTCTGTCATTGAACAAGCAAACAGAATGCATTAAATGTATTTTTTTTTAAATGATTTCTTCGTTTTATTTCTGCATTTTCAGCCGATTGCTCACAATTTTTCGGATTACCGATTGCTTATAAAATGATTAAAGTGATTTGTCAATGTATATAGAAAATTTTATACCTATTTAATTAATGATTTTACGCCTAGTGTATCCCTTCATTAAAATTGGCATAAAAAAACTCAAGTACCTTCTTTTAACATATTATTTTCACACATTCATCATCATTTCAGCCACAGGACGTCCACTGCTGAACATAGGCCTCCCCCAGTGATTTCCACATCGCCCGGCTGGTAGCGGCCTGCATCCAGCGCCTTCCTGCTACCTTTATGAGGTCGTCAACCCTCATTACAGGAGCTAAAAGCCTGTAAGAGTACCCATTCCCATAGGTTTTTATTTTACAGACGATTGCTCTGCCAACGAGGAATTCCTTCCATGCGGTTCGTCGTGTCCAGCAAGCTGCGCTGACCCTAGCCCAGTCTGCGATGACTACTGCGTGGCTGGATGCTTCTGCAAGTCTGGGTACTTAAAGAAGAACAAAACTTGTGTCAAAGCCGACAAGTGTGGTGGTAAGTTAGAAGAGATGATAGCTGTAGCGTGAGGTTACTATAAGGTCTAGTGAAAAAATAGGAGCACAAGATAATCTACATGGGTACTTCTCATTTACACTCAAATTTGATGGTCACACAGTAATAGTTCATAAACGGTATAAGTTAGAACAATAACTTTGAAATCAGATGATAAAATATCTATTTAGCTACATACAAAATAAATTTTATCNTGTCGTTTCAGTGCGGATTTCCTATGGCCACCTTCCGGCTTCATCATCAGACCCCGGTTACCATATAGGATGGAAGTTCTCATCAATACAAATCAAATGAGCCCAAACTCTATGGGGTTATGTCGTTTTATTGCAGAGCTCCTATGGCTACCTTCTAGCTCCATGTCATCATAATATTGCATTGTCATCCGACTTACACATGCATGAAAAATTTCAGCTCAATGGGAAACCGGGAAGTTGGTCAATTTTAAGTTGCAAGATTTGCCTACACCAGACCTGTGAAAGTAAATAAAAGCTTGCAATAATAATAAAATACGAGGCCCTCTGGCCAAAATAAAAAATATATTTTTGTTGAGGGACTGATAATCAGTAAGAGTTCTTTTTTATTGAGGTTCTAAATCCGTTTTTTGCTTCTTTAGCATTTCAGAATGCCACCAGTGTCACCCTTAAAACCAATTGCGTAGAATCTTGTAACTTAGTAGATGAGTTAATCGGTAAAATTGTATCTTGTATTTAAGTAGGTACCTATTTATATTATGTTATTGCTATTTATCTATGAAAATAAGACAAAATATGTGTTATATAAACACTTAAGAGTCATTTACAGTAGTAAAATTTGAAAAAATAATTGCTGTGAAATACAGAATCACTTTCGTGGCATCAAAAAATTCAAAACGTTAAAGCTTCCAAACGAGACTCACTATTTGACTGATTTACTGAGAATACAATCTTCACATCAAGCGCTACAATTTTTGTTTGCAAAAAGTTCAAATAAGTTAGAAATAAAATTCGCCACGAAGGTGACGATGAGAACCGTGGCGATGAGAAATACCCACATACAAAAGTGTGCTCTTGCAACGCACACATAGACAACGCACACGGACACAACATACGCGAAGTGTCGCAAACTATTCTAAACCAAGCGCGAATGACGCCCGCTTTAGACAAAATAAAGTACCTACATACTTCGGTGATTGTCTTCTGTTATTATACAGGGTGGAAACGATAAGTGATCTCACTCGATTATTTCTAAACTATACAAGATATCCAAAAACTGGTTACTGATCCTGAAAGTGCTTCACGAGCTCTATCCAACGATACCAATAATAGGTTACAAAATAAATTAGATCTATCTGAAAATTCAATGTTTCCAGCCTCCATACATTTAGTAAAACCACATAATATTAAAAACTGTTCAAAATATTCGAAAACTGGTTACTGATTCTGAAAGTGCTCCACGAGCTCTATCCAACGGTACCAATAATAAGTGATAAAATAAACTGGATCTATCCGAAAATTCAATGTTTCTAGCTTCCATACATTTACTACTGCCAGCCATGGCACTCATGTCTTGATAATATTATAGCAAGTAAACCTAAAACCAATATTTTCCATGAATAATTTCAAATAAGAATGCAATTTACGAGTTAATTTTAAGTGTTTATGATTTAAAATAAAAAAGCAACACTTCTTATATTGTATGCCTGGCATAGTGGCATACATTTAGTATGGAGGCTGAAAAAATTTACTTTTCGGATAGATCCAGTTGATTCTGTAACCTATTACTGATATCGTTTGAAAGAGCTCGTGAAGCACTTTCAGGATCAGTAATCAGTTTTTCGATATCTTGTGTAGTTTAGAAATAATCGAATGAGATCACTTATCGTTTCCACCCTGTATGTTTTGTAATGTTTGATCGTGATGTCTATTAAAGTTATCTACGTTTTTCTACAGGCAAGCCCAAGTAAGGAAATCGGCGAGTTGCATAATCATCTTTCTACTTTTTATACTGCAAGCTTTTGTATAATAAAGGCATATAATGACAAGTGTATACTTATTTATTAAATGGATACATCTATGAATGCTTGTGCCGTTCCCACTTCGTTTTTCCCCGCGGGATTCGAACCCGCAACATTAGTGAATATGACTATGATCCATCAAGGCAGACAGATCTCGTCAGGATAATTATATAGGTCTTAAAAATATAGTATTCCTTGTCCTTGCATAAAAAAATACAGACAATGTTGTGAAAGACCCCGTAGTTGCTGGAATTCGTTGCCTGCTGCTGTCTTTCCCGAAAACTATAATCCGGGCCTTTTCAAGGCGAGAGTGAATAGGCACTTACAGGGCAGATATGTACCATCCTAGACCGCATCCCACTTAACATCAGGTGCGATTGTGGTCAAATACCTGCCTTGATATGCATAAAAAAAAAAAAAAAGTTTAAACAAGAATAGGTATAGAGTTGTTTAAAATTGATTCTAACTCGATCATTTATTATTTACCAAAAACCCAAGAATACGGGAGTCCGTTGCTACACAGTAGTGCAGTGATGGGGGGGAGCTGTCCTAATTCTCCCCTACCGCGCTGTGAGTATGTTTGCCCCGGCTTACTCGCGCGCTGAGGAGGTAGGAACGAGGTGAGAACACTCCCTCAATCCTAATCAAGAGGTGAAACCACTTGTGGCTGATCGGATGAGATGCCCTTGCGGTGGATCAAAGTTGTACCGGCACGTTGTAACTGAACTGGTTTTATAAATTCTACCTATCCGTTTTGTAAAATTAATTTGCACTACACCGCTCACCGCCTACTAATGCTCTTGTTCATACTCATTTTTACCATACGGAAAGACACAGACTAGTACTATTACCTACGAAGTAGAACGAAAAAATCTATCCATCTCCATTTTCTTCTGGTAAATTAGCAACAGTCGTGCTCCTGCACTGAAACCAAACAACCTGATACTAATTTAGGGGATAAAAAACAACAATTTAGAGTTATAAAGGATAGAGAGCTATCGTAAGCAAAATTCTTGCGCCATTCTGGAAATAATTAAAAGTAAAGTTCGCTGCAGCGTAAAATTTAGTCGTCATGTCGTCTAAGCAAAATATTAAAACATGTAGTAATAGATCGCTTACAGAGTATAGTTTTCTCGCGACCAAAACGTCATAGTAAGGTGTACGGATTGCAGTACAGTTCAGTTCGACAGTGCGAGCGTTCGGAAATCAATTGCGTTTCTTCTCTGATAGGATCTCTATAGATTGATCACCATACAAACCCAACTCTATTCATTCCAGAGAGCGTCTCCATTTGCGACGCGAACGAAGAGTTCCTATCATGCGGCACAGCCTGCGCTGGTACCTGCACCCAGCCTGAACCAGTAGTCTGTGGGGCCACCTGCAGCATGGGCTGCTTCTGCAAGTCCGGCTTCGTCAGAGACACCAGCAATAACAAGTGCGTCACTGTCGACCAGTGTCCCGTTGGTGAGTACACCGCGAAATACCACTTTGTAGTCTTCCCTGTGAGGATTTGATCGGGGGGATCATGCAGACTGGATATTATTAGTAGGTAAGTATCTGGTAGGAAATATAGGCATGAAGGCAGTATCATTATACTACGTCATGATCTTCCCTGTGAGGGTTTGTTGAACAATTTGTGAGAAACGATCCATAGATCTGACTGGTAATTTTATATTAGACAGCTTTGTGACATGACCGTTTACTGGATACTGGTTGAGTCAATTAGTCATCTACTTACTGTCTAGACTCTAGATCCTGACTTTAAAACAGTCATGAGAGAAGTTAGCAGTAAAGTTTGCTGTACATGAGGTTTACTTGGCATCAGATATTGTACCATCATCATTGCTATTGAATTGTTAAACAATAGAGCTATTATTTCTAACTATAGGATCGAAAATACTGTAACTTATTGGACACTTTCTAGTCGGGAAGTCGATGCGATCAATTTCGTTGCGGGTCCAATGACAGCTTAACCGTGGTTTAACTTTCCCCTGGAACAAACTTGAACTTCACAAGTCAAGCTGTAGATCCTGGCTACACAGGACTTGCAACGGTGGGAACGAGAAGTGGGAATAGTCCCGTACCCACTTATTAGATAAATAATAACACTGATTCTATAACGTCCTCGATTTCTGATATTGCCTCTATTTTCCAGAACAATGCTTCAACAAGAACGAAGTCTACGACATCTGCAACGGCTCCTGTGAGCCCTCCTGTGCTGACCCTGAGCCTATCTGTACCAAGCTGTGCACTGGAGGGTGCATCTGTTCAACTGGTCTCCTCAGAGATGACAATGGAGAGTGCGTGACGGTTGACAAATGCCCAGCAAGCAATTCAACCGACCCTGGACTCTTGGGGAAGTACTTGAATGCTATCAATCGAATCCTGCATCTTAACACTGAGGCGACTGAGGCTTAAGTTGAAATTAACTGTTGATGTGTTCAGTAGGATAAGGATATTTCACGAGATTATGTCACAATAAGAAACACAAAATATTTTAATGTATAAAAGCGAAAGGTCACTGACTGACTGACTCACTCACTCATCACGAAATCTCAGAAACTACAAGTGCTAGGAGTCTCATATTTTGCATGGTGGTTCCTTTTAGAACGTAGGTGCTCACTAAGACGAGATTTTGGAAAATTCGAAGTAGCGGGCGGCCGCTACTTAGTGAATAAGGCTATAAATAAATCAGTATTGATTTATTACTTGGAAACATGTAATTTCTAATTACAATACGAAAAAGTAATAAATGAAACACACAAAAGTTAAGACTTATCATAAATTGTGATAAAACCGAACTAAATACCACAGTATTGTAAATTATTATCAGATAAGTATGTATGTTTAATTATGTAAGTTATTATTAACTTCACAAATTAATTATTTTTTGTAGTAGTTAAGTAAAATAATTATTATTTCTGTATTAACAACGATAGCGTAACTTAATTATAAATTAAATAAATTGTATTGATAAAAAATATTTTATATGTACTGAACAAAAACAATAAACACGTATTATTTTAATAGCCTATAATTAATTAAATCTAGCAAATAAAAAAACAGATTGTTTGCAAGATTATATTATGTTACAATGTTTAATAAAGAATAAAAAATAATACATAATAAATAGAAGGCATTAAATTTAATTTTCCAGGCGTGGTTTGTTGGTGGCATTGGTATTATTATAATATTCGAGATCTGAAAAAATATAAAATTAAAATAAATCACCTGAAAGCCTTTTACTGCCATCTATCCATCACTTTTGTAATTACGTTGGCTGTACAGTCTCATAGCAGCTCCAACCACAGAATTAGTTCCACTTTCTTGCGTTGCGTTTTAGTTCAGAAAATGTTCAAAAGATGGCGGTATAAGAAAATAATGCAGAATTCTGGTTTTATTTATTTTTGTACATTTAAAAATAATACTTTTAATAATAAACGAATTAGTAGAGTTAAAACATAGCTATGCAATGCATGCTAAGTGCACAGTGTTAAATCTGTTAATGTTTCGGAGTAAATAAGTCTTACAATAATTTCGAACTCCTCATTTTAGTATATTACAGAAAAAAAAACTTTGATAAATACAGTATCTACATAAGTAGATGTTACGAGTTCGTTTATAAAATATTATTCAAGTCTAATTACCTATGTACTAATTTGTCTCAGAGCTTTTTTAAAGCTCTTTAGTTCAAAGAACTTAGCTAGATCACCTAGATGGCGGTGCACGATACATGAGCATAATATATTTTTTTAGAAGTTTCATTATAATACCATATCTATTGTATGCAAGTACGTATTTCTGATCATAATTCCGATTAAAATTATTTATTTTATTTATTTTTATTTACCTACTTTGTTACAGTTCTATCTGAATTAAATATTTTCTGATTTTGCGCTAAAAACTTACACGCATTTTTATAATAGGTTTCTGAGAGACAGGTCAACAAAAGCAAGGAGAGGTACACGTACAACTATTCCTGGGGAGTTTCACATAGCCTGGGATACGAAGCTTTTCCTGGACATTTCACGATGATAACTGAAAGCCCCTTGCATCTTTTTTTTACGGAAACGAAACGAAATGCCAAGAAAAGCAAACAGGGGATGCACATTCAAACAAATGAAGACCGATCCATGATATAGACACTGATGCCACCTTTCATTAGTAACCCTATTTATGTAGACAACAAACTTTTGGAGCCTTTAAAGGCAGATCGTAAGCTGCTATTATAATTTTTTTCTATTTAAAAAAGACCTCAATTGACAAAACATCTTAATATTAAAGCCGATTGATGCAAGGAAATTCTGTAATAAGTTTTATGAATGTTATAATATTATTTTGGATGTCATCCTGGATCAGTCTAGCTCATTGGTTCCCAAACTAATTTGAGACGCGCCCCCTTTCGACCATACAAAAAGTTCCGCGCCCCCCTCCTCCAGTCAAGATTATTTATTGGTTGTATCGAGCAGTCTGGAATGCATTCTCTCAGCGGTCGTAGGTTTTTTATTATACTTAATTACTCACTACACAGATGGCCCGCGCCGTCCTTTAAAGGTATTTGCGCCTCCCCTGGGGGGACCAATTGGGAACCAATTGTCAGCACAAACAAAAAAGCAAGCAAAGCCACAAAAAGGCAGACGTCACCACTATAACTAACCTATGGCATAGACACAGACGTCACCTTTCTGTAGTCTTCCTCCCGCATCCCATGGGCCAGGTAGCTGAAGGACAAGAAGTCGCTGTGGTTGGAGACCAGCTGGAAGACCATGGTCTTTGAGCCGGTCTCTCCGCGGACCAGGCTGAAGTTGACCTCCCCGGTCGCGTCTACGGTAGCTGTCACGTCTAAGTATGTGATTACGAAGCCTTTCTGGAAACGGATTTAATGGCAAATATTAAGGTTGGAACCACAATATATTGAAGTTGGTTATGTATGATTTTAGCCATGCAGTTACACCAGAGAATAATACCATCTTGATGTTAGGATCAGATTAGACTATCATAGTTGTCATAAAATGCGAACTAGAGAGAACGCTAGGCCGCTCAAACCAGTTTGACCAGTGGGTAGAGTTTAGGTCATATTATATTCCTCTATTTGCCTATAGTAAATGAGAGGGTCGTGTTTCTGTAATGGACACTGAATGACCTGATGATAATGAAGATGATGATAAAGATGTATGTATAATTGAGATAAATGGAATCCTCCATTTGCCTCTGGTAATTAAGCTGGAGGATGCCATAGACGGACGTATGTAGTAGGATGAATTATATATGGAAATTAAAAAATATATTGACGAGTCTAAAGTTAAAGTCTAGTTAAAGTTCTAAATAAATCATCAAACAAAGAACATTACAAAGTGTATGCCACTAACACTCACGTAGCCTTACGTTTCCATCTCTGCTAAAAATAAACATGAAATAGGTGTTTTACCTTGGCCGTCGTGGTCAATGTGACGAAAAATGGGTCGTAGTTGTTCAAATGCCTGTAGCGGTCCGACGTGCCCTGCATCGGGAGGGACTCTGGAATATTACACAGTTTTAAAGTAGGTACGAAAGAGCTTTTGTACTATCTTACTTTAACTTTGACAAACGTTAAGAATCTGTCAAACTCCATACAAAAACACCGGTTATCGTTATAGTTACGGTCAAAATTAGGTGGTGCAACTCAGTCTAAGTGTAATTGCGTTTGTTTATTAAGGGTTTTAGTGGAGGTTTATTTTTACTAGGGCATGAATATCGGAATCTCGGAATCTCGTAATATCGGAATCTCGGACTGCGAGATCCGATATTTCAATTCCGATATTGAGCGACCCAATATCGTAATATCGGAATCGGATAATTTTTTTTATTGAGATTTAAAACAAAGCGTTTAAACTCGCCACAACCTGCCACAAAGCCCAAAGTACATGATTGGCAAAGACCAATGATTTTCTCATGTCTCTCACCATCACTTTTTGTTCCACTGCAAAAATTTTAATATCTTTACTATTTATGGTTAATTTAACGTGTTCTATATCAATTTTGCATTTGCCATAGGTACTTGGTCAACAAAGAACGACATCTCAACTCCCTTTCAAACATTAATTTTACTGGACTATGGACCGTCAGTTCTGCGTACTATGTGCCCTGCTCATTGCCACTTCAGCTTGCTAATCCGTCGGGCTATGTCAGCGACCTTGGTTAGTTTACGGAGCTCCTCATTTCTGATTACCTCGTAAAGAAACACCAAGCTTATCCCTCTCCATAGCACGTTGTGCCCTATATTCAAAGGCCAAGTTTTCGAGCCGTATATCATCACTGGTAACACACACTAATTGACGACTTTCGTCTTTGTATTCGACGATTTACCTCTTTCTCGAAATTGCATCTAACTATCTAGCTGATCGTTTGTCCGAGATAGACATACTTACTTGTCAACAATCTCGAGAATCGAGCTCCTAACCGGAACTGGGTAAGGAGCAACATGGACATTCGACATAAGCTTCGTTTTTTCCATATTCATCCGAAGGCCTACCTGTTGGGAAACTCGATTAAGGTCTTCGAGCATTATGATAAGGTCTTCCAACGGTTCTGCCTTAGTACGCAAAACAGACGGACGATGAGGCAGCAAGGTTCTGAAGTGGAGGCCACGTACCGGAAAGCGCAGCGTAGGACTCATAACCACAAGGTGGACCGACGACCTCATAAAGGTAGCAGGAAGGCGCTGGATGCAACCAGCTATTGTGAAAATCAGCATCGGAGCCTGTGTTCAGCAGTGGACGTCCTATGGCTGACATGATGATGATGGATGGAACAAATTACAAGCATATTCAAGTTTTTTACCACTCTCTACAATTTTTGTAACACGTGATTTGGATGACTCTAAAATTCGTTCCGCCAACATAAAACAGGGTAATATAATGAAGGAGTAAAAGTTTGTTAGATACCTGTGATTTTACAAAAAACACTTTAATTATTTGCTAGTCCATATAGGCTCATTATCAGTAACCATTCACTATCAGGTGATCCGTCTGCTCGTTTGCCTCTTGTCACATAAAAAACCAAATGCAATGGATACCCTTAACGTAAAAATGGTTTTAAAATACTTAAATTTTATGAAGTGCTGTTTTGTACCAAATCAAAGATTTTGATTAAAATCATTATTTTATTGTAAACAATCCAGAATTCTGACGAATACCTATAACCAAATATTAATTTTATAGCACATGAACTCAATTCCGATATTAATATTATATTATTATCGGATCGATATTAATATCGGAATTCCGATATTGAGATCTAATATCGGAATCCAATATCGGAATTGAAAACCTTCCGATATTACATGCCCTAATTTTTACCATTATCATTTAGTTAGTCTCAAATAGTTCATGACAACCAATGTAGCCAAAAAGTTCGCTACACGTCTGTGTATACAATTGGAATAAGGTTGTGTTGTCTTCTAACATTGAGGTCCGAAGTGCGCGTGGAGGTCCGAAGTGCGCGTGGAGTCCCCGCGCGCTTCGGAGAGAGTTGCCCTTCTAAGGGCGACAGTTTGAGTGAGGCTGCGTCCAAAGCGTGGGGGTACGCACGTGAACGACTTAACGGCGCCTTACGTGCTACTCCACTAAGCGCCACCCGAGGGACCCGTCAGGTTTTTAGTGGGCAGGCCCTGCCCTTCTGGCAGGGAGAGCCCCACATAACCCACCGGAACCCCCTGACCGGTGGGTATGCATTTCAATACATTTTCCTGACGCAAAAAAAAAGGTTGTGTTGTCTTTGTTCACTTTGGTTGTCACGAACTATTTGACATACATTACCCCTACTCAGAGTAATTTATGTGATTGTGTTAAAAAAAAGATTCACTGCATTTTTCCAAAAGTTGACAATGATCAAACTTTAGCGTCTTCCGTTTATCGATTTGTCACTTAGTATACCAGGCCTGTTCATCTCCGCGAGTTTACATCGAAAATAAAACACGCACGTTGGCCCACCTATAGGATACTATTCGACAAGGCCTCACATACGAGCGAACATTGACTCACGCACGCGTATGATGGAAGAAAATAAAGAAAATGGTGTACTAAATACTGTGCAGTATTTAACTGTCTAAATAATAATAAAAACACAGAATGTACTTTTTTAAGTTGCCTCAAGACACTGAGAGGTAAATAAGTAGTTAAAATTATTCATGATAATTCATGCTAAATCATGTATTTCCTCCGCCATTTTCTGCAGATTGGCACCTCACGTCACATCATTTTACCGAAGTCAGCCCTATAGCTTCGGCGCAGTACCGATCACTGACGTTTGTCAACAAAACTTCTGACAAACTTGCTTGACTCTTGAGAAAAGCTAAATTACACCATATTGTTAATGACATTGAGCATACATTTTTTTAAATACCTTCGCGAAGTAAAACTTCTGTACGTAGTACTTATTATTATTCTGTGGTAGTACTTATTATTATTCTGTGGTAAAATGTAGTATATTTTATGTCACCATTCTCTATCTGCTCCAGTCTAGCCGTTTATGTTTATGCACAAATCAAAATCCCTGGCGGAATTATTTTATAGTTCAGCTACAGTTATGAGCGTCATAAACTGCTAAACAAACGCCAATTAAACTTATCTCGTCGATATCACAAAGCTATCCAGGGCCGATCCCATGGGATTGCGCGTCAAAGCATTCTAGCAAAAGGTAGAGATGGGATAAACGAACGCCAGTCGAATAGGGATGATGACTGGATAATGAAATCGAAATTTTATTTAGTCCGTCAGACAGATAATTAGAAAATATTAGACTTAACGTAAGTGCGCCTATTAACGACCCCCCAAAATTTGTATTCTATTACCGCCCTATTTTTCTTTCTTTCATAAAATACATAATAACAGGTTCCAGAAAACACGTTACCTAAAAAATATCTAGATATGTTTATTGACTATCAAAACGATTAAAGTTTGTGTTCGTAAATAACCAGTAAACGGAGTTATTTGACATTAAATGGGACGCGCCCGCAACGGACGCACTTTTCATACTGACGCGCTCCCAGCTACTTAAGGTGCACCTTGTTATTAATTAGCGATTTTAACACATTTAAAATGAGTATACCAACATGTTTTTGCATAACAATATTAATTCGTACTTTAGTTTCCTTAATAAACCCTCAATATAGCCCTCTCGCTGTATTTTTGTGGCTTAAATACAATTTTAAATAAGGGCGGTTATAGAAACACTTTTCATAATTTGGTTCCTAATAACGACCCATGGCGTTGTTAGAATTTTGATAAAGTTTTTTATTTTAGTATTTGTATCTTTAACTACGCATTTAGCCTCCATTTTTTTGTCTTGATCGATTCATAAGATTATTTCACATAATTAAATCAATTAACGCCATACGTTAATTGTCATAGGTTTGGCATAAAACTGCAATGAACATTAAAGAATATCTCTAATAATGTATGACAACAGATTTTATAAAAACCTGTTAAATTCTAATTAGTACCTATTTGATATAAAATAAAACCTAATAAAAATGATACTTCACTGATCATGTCTTCATTAATGTAGATATTTTAGCTGCTTACTGTTTTTTTTTACGGTCGCTAATAGAATAAAGTAATGTTCATACTTAATTCTATTACCGCCTCATAACTGTAACGCCACCTGCGAAGACTTATAAGCCTGTATTTTGTATATAACTAACATTTATGTCATGACACCAAACCAATCATGCATTATCACAACTACTATGTAACTTTCTAAGATCTTTTGAATAATAAAAAAAATATTTAAAATAATTATACAGACAGTGTCCATTGTCCATAGTTTAAATGAAAATACACAATTACACACAATTAAAATAAAAACTAATTGAAAATTATAGTCAAATTAAATATAAAAATGAAATATTAAATGAATATTTAATTTTATTAAAACTCAAATATAGTTTAAATAATGACCCCCACTACTCACTAGAACACCGGGTACCGCGTAATCAAGTATAATAGAGGAATTTATTATTATTCTATTTTTGCTTGATTTATTTATTTATTTTCGAGAAGCCGTGCCTTTTCTCTTTTAATAATAAAAAAAAATTGACTTGAAAAAAAACCAAATTTAACTAAAACTAAAAACAAAACAAATTTAACGTCAAAAAATCAAGTGGTTCCCGAGCCTCTGAGCGGGAATCGAACCCGTGCCTCTTGGAATATACCCAATTGAAGAGCAATATTCTTAGCGGTCGGTAATAGAAACAGAAAAAACGTTAATAGAAACACACCTCGTCCATAGGTCGGTAATAGAAACAACTGCTTTTTCAGATTAAATTGCTATTTATTAATTATTGTGTGATTGAATACTCATTTTTACTACTTGAATTCAAAGATTACTTCATCATTGTTATAAATAAATTAAAGTGTCTTTTCTATCACCACGTCTTATATCTAATTTTCTAACGTTTATCCGAAGTGAGCTTAAACTGGCGGTAATAGGCGCATTTACGTTATATATTTTTTACTTTTTTCCATAATCGAATAATTACAGTATTATAATGAGTTGAAATGTCGCGTGACGTCACTTTTGAGTAAAAATTCTACTGAAGCTTGACGTATCGCGCCATTTCAACTCGATGTAGCACTGTTATTATTTAATTATGAAAGAAAATAAAAAATATGAGTCTAATAGGTACTTTCTAATTATCTGTCTGACGGACAAATACTTAATTGAAATTTTGTCATCTAGCCTATTGTTCAAGTTGATTTGCTTGCCCTTGCTCAATACACCTGTAATGCAGCAGTATTATGTACTTCATGTGATTAGAAATATTATTTAAAAACAATATTTAATGAACTCAAGTTTTATAGGGTATGTAGGATAGTTCGACAAAAACTCAACTCTCAGACTGAAGAGGACGACAGTCTGCTGCTTACGTTACGCTAAAATACAATAACATGGACCCTTATAGGCAGATCATCAAGGACCATCACTTTCCCTTTTATAGAGAGAACAGATTATTAGAGAAATCAAGATGACGATGATGAAAGAAAGATCAAGTTTTGAACCTGAAATCTTTGATTGCAATTTTGACTGACCCATTTTTTACACCCGATATGGTTTAACCCTTTTGAACTTTGGTGAACTTCGCAGTACTAGGAGAGCCGGCTCCAAATATTGGCAAATGTCTAGGACAATGAAGGTAGTGTAGTATTCGATTTGATATTTTTCAATCGGGTGCACATTTTTCGTCATAATTCGTATAAAACCGACCAAAGTCGCATCACTAGCAAAAGGTACGAATATCTGATAAAGTATTGATGGGCCGATATAACAGGGTCTATCCAATTATGTGTTCTGATTGCGATTGGGAGTGAAAGAACCATCCTTGATTGGAGGGGCAATAATTGGGGCAGTTTACCCACATGAGTACAACTAGGGATTTTACACACACGGGTGATTCTGGTCTCTGAAAATGCTTGTAACAATGATATCTAATAATATTTTATTCCAACAATCATACGAGTACGAATGGAGGTAAGTTAGCCAGTTTTTTTTTGGTTGAGAATTTCAGGTGAAACTTGATTCCACCTTCGGCCTGATCATCACTTTCCATCAGGTAAGATGCAGACCAAGAAAAAAAAACTAGACCCAGAATTAACAGAGCTTATGCTGTTGCGGTTACATGGTGATATCATGGAAACTTTAGAATGGCCAAGTAGCGTTTTGCGTACCGGAAAACGCAGCGTGGGACGTCCACCCACAAAGGTAGCAGGAAGGCGCTGGACTCAGGCCGCTACTAACCGGGCAACATTGAAAGCATTGGGGGCGGCCTATGTTCAGCAGTGGACGTCCTATGGCTGAGATGATGATGATGATGAAGCAGCGTTTAAAAATTATTTATTCGGGCAGAATGTTTTATACACTAGAAGTGTAATTAGTTACATTGTTGCACATGAGTAGTACCTACAAAATCAATCGAGAAAAAAAAAACCAACAAAATAAAAGTTTAAAAGAAAAGCCCCGTGACGTCAAAGCGTGCTTAAGAGTGTAGCACTTTGTGACTTCACGCGGGACTTCATCGCATCATAACTTTGCAACTACTTATTTGATTGACAAATAAAAATAAACGTGTTCAATATTTTTTGAAAACATAAATGATGGACTTGAAAGTTTTTTTGGGAAACTAGCATATTCCGTGATAAATTCTAAGTAGTTCCTAAGAGGGACTACTCTTTCCTAATTGGGACGGGTCCCACAGCAGCTGACGTATCCGGTAACCGGCCTAACTTAAAAGTTGTACTTACTTAGGCTTAATTGAACAAGACTTTTATGACTCGTCATTATAGATTATTTAAGAGAGTTCTAACAAATCAATAAAAGTGTAACTACTAAGGCTGAGTTGCACCACCCAAATTTGACCGTAACTATGACGATAACCGGTGTTTTTTGTATGGAGTTTGACAGATATTTGATGTTTATCTCAGTTAAAGTAAGATGGTGCAACCCAGCCTAAGAATAAACATAATCATGAAAATAGGTTGGGTAAACTGAATCATCGCAAATAAATGCCTAGGCTACTTAGGTTGAATTGCATCATCTCACTTTAACTTTCACAAACGTCAAAAATCTATAAACTCCAAACAAAAAGCACCGGTTATTGTTACAGTTAAAACACTCGTAAGGTGGTACAACTCAGCCTTAGTCATCAGTAATGTAGGTTAAAAGTAAATAGATAAAAGCATACTTACTTGTGTATTCGATGCCGACTCTAAACTTCTCAGTTCTATACCTTTCCGTGTAGCTTGACACAGCTACAGTCCCCATTAAGAAAATCACTAATATCTTCAGCATTTTCAGAAAAATCACTCTGAATTCCTTCAAAAAACACGGGTCACTTTGGTAGCAAAGACAGTAGTGTCTAAAGATATTTTAACACTGAATTTTTTGTCATTTATCTTATCAATACAGATATTCTCTCGGAGTGATAAAAGATATTGATGCAGCATTGAATAGTTAAAAGTATCAGATTTCGTAATCTTTGCAACTGGATGATAGATGTTTAACCTAGATATTCGAGTGGATTTGTCAATATTTGCACTGTTTATGTTTTCTGTGTTCTTGAAGGTACAAAGGGATTTTGAATCAATATTCTTAAATGAAAAAACATACTTCTATCACACGAATATTATAAAGGCGAATTTTGGTGAGTGTGTATGTTTGTTACTTCTTCACGCAAAAACTGCTGAACGGATTTTGATGAAACTTTACAGTGTTATTGTTTATAACCCAGAATAACATATAGGGTCTTTACGGTGATCTGTGACAAACTGAATTTCATAAGTAAAATCAAATCAAATCATTTTTATTCACGAACATGGGTTGTGTTTATGTGAAGTGAATTGTCTCAATTGGATTATAAAAATAATGTCATCAAAATGAAAAATCTTTATTTAATTTAGACCAATATTTGGCACATGAACGTCAATGTGCTTGGTCCAAAGGTTAACTGGAAGAGAATGCCAGATGGCATTAAGATCGCCTTTTGTACCCTGCTCAATGTGCAAATTAGATTTAAATAATTTATTACAGTTTTTAGGTTCTTTACTTTGGAAAGTGATACCTAAAAAAAATTTATATTCTTTGGGAGGTTTACTTTAGACCCTCCTTTCACCTCTCTACGATACAAGACTCTTCGTCTACGATATCATCAACATAAACTAGGATTAGATCAGGCTTCCAGAGATTTTCCAGAGAAACCACGTCCGAGTTTCGGCGACACGGTAACACCTTCTGTTATGATGCCTAGCAAAACAAACGCCGGTAGACAAAGGCTAAGAACATAGCCCAACGAGATCAGCAAGCAAGAGCTGAAAATCAGTGTTCTGCTCTTTTTAGAGCAGAACACTGATGTTTTTCGCTAAGCTCTTTGCTTTTTACACTTGCACCTTAGCGCAGGATTTTCTTTTTATATTGCTTGTAATGTCACTATTTTATGCTACTCCTGTCAATGTGTTTTGAAAATAAAACTTTTATCTATCTATCAGCATCGTAGTTTTTTAATGGAAATGGAAAAATCAAAAACGCAAAGTTAATTCCAGGAATTTTAAACTATGTGTCTATGGCCGACGATAATCACTTACCATCAGGTGATCCGTCTGCTCGTTTGCCTCTTGTCACATAAAAAAATACTTGCTCCATCTGCTTCAGGTATCTACAGCCCGAAGTATTCTGTAATGAGGTGCTAATACTGAGTTAAAGCGTAAGTATTATTATTTATTCGTAAACAAAAAAATGAACTCCTGTCCTGTCCAAAAGAACGATTCCTGGCGTATTTCCTTCTTTTATTGTACTAATGTCATTTATTCTGACAAAGATAAAATCGAACGGGACTCAAGAGTACTTAATTTAGCTAAGGTACTTATTTTTACTATGCCCTTTCTACCATCGACTTCACAATATTAGCCACAATCACGGTATTAATCAGAATATTACTCAATAATCTCAACCATCAATATGGGTTTACTGTTCCGCCTGGCTTATGGCGGAACCTTGCTAGACAAAAGCGTAGGCCTCGAAACAATGCCGTCCTAGATAAACATAATTACCGAATAATAGACGCTTTTTGAGTACATCCTGCGACGCCAGCAGAATGATCGGGATCGGTTCATTCGTGTAATTACTTCAGAGCTTTGAGGTGATAAAGTTGAAAGCTTGTGCTTTTGTTTGATAACTTCCTTTATAATTTGATTTGATTATGTTGATACAGAAGTTGTTAATTATATTATGAGTTACGAGAATTTTGCTATAATAATATCTCGTCTCCACTGCTGTAATTCGTATGTGGATAGGATCTACAACTTGACCGCCAATAAAAGTATAGTTAAGTTTGTCTTAAGGGAACTTTAAAATGTTATTGGATCCGTCACGTAAAATAAATGTGAAAACGTAGCCGGTAAGTATGAATAACCTGTGAAAATAATTTTACTTTTGCAAGTAGGCTTATAAAAAGCACTTTACATGTCACAGTCCCACCACTGCTTCGGGACAATAAATGGGCCAGTGCTGAGAAGAAGCAGCGCAAGAAACTCAGTCACTATTGTCAGCCTGTGTACCTAAGTGTAAGGAAAAACTATTATCAGCCTATGTAAGTGTGAAAATGATATATGTATGTAAGTACATACAAGTAGGGATTGCAATCCAGCGGCGTTTTCAATCCAGCTGGATTCTTGCTGGATTGACCTGAATCCAGCTGGATCCAGCGCGGATCCAGCAAAAAGTGGAACGAAAATAAAAAGACGACATTTTGAAGTCTTTTTTTAAATTTTAAGTAACTAGTTTTCCGCCCACGGCTTCGCCTGCGTGAAAAAAGGGCTGTGTTTAGGGTTTTCTTGGAAATCATTCGAATTTTTTTCGCCGTAAAAACCATCCTTGGACTTCAACGAACATTAAAAAAAATGGTCCAGGCGTTGTTGAATTATACGCTTACCAACACATTATGCGATTCATTTTTGTATTATAGATTTGTACTTCTTACGATAATCTATGAAATACGGCTCAGTAACTAATAATCAGGAGGAAACAGTCTTACAAATTCTTTTAAAATTTACGAAAAGGACCGTAATTTAATCTGCAATCTATTTTTTGTATCAATAGAAGTTACGAATGGAAAATAATAATCTTCTGCGAAAATTAGGCAGTTTGTAATCTGACAACAGGAGACTGACCATTTCTTTTTCAATCCTCTGGAACAAAGACAAATTTTATCTATAGTCTAACCCAGGGATTCCCAATTTTTTTTGCCAAGGAACCCTAATTGATTATACTTTTCCTAGCGGAACCCCTGTACTACTACGCCCGCACGCCCTGCCCCTCCCTTGTGCGTAAACAAGTCGGTGCGCGCGAACAACGTCGGTCACGAAACGTGGGATAATATTTTTTACGGAACCCTTGCGGCCTTTCCACGGAACCCCAGGGTTCCGCGGACCACCTTTCGGGAACTGCTGGTCTAACCTCCCAACAGCACAGAACTGCATATGTAGCCGGCTGCTGAGAATGCCCTTTGGCCTCTACACTGGTCGGTTTAGGGTCATTAAATATTCATACACCATAGATAAATGTTCATCTCGCACTCCTTCGTAATCTAATTGACCACTTGGCTTTGGCTTCTGTTTATTATAGTTCTCCTTCTCTCTTTTAAGTTCCATCTCAAGCTCTTGCTCTAAAGTCATTTTCTGCGTCATCATTTAGTTAGACCATTCTCTTCTAACTCCATGATATCTTCATTTTCTTGCAATGGCTCTACAATATTTTGTTTATTTACTCGTTTTAACAAAGTTTTCATCTCCTGCCGCATCGCATTCTTTTTTGGCAAAGGAAAAAAGACAGATTTTTTAACTGCTTTTTCATACTTTTTTGGATTTATCAAGCACACAAACGTACCAGTAACTTCAGAGAGGCGCCGTTCAACGCACACAACAACAGAACGGCAACGTCACCGCGCTGTTTTGGAAATGGCGGCAATTAGAAACTAAGCAACAGAAAGTTATACGTTTGCGGATCCGCATCGCTGGATCCAGCACTGTATGCTGGATCCAGCATGTTTAAAAAGGCGCTGGATCCAGCTGGATTGCTGGATGCTGGATCCAGCAATTGCAATCCCTACATACAAGTAGGTAAAACATGTTTTATGATTAGGTACAAATATTTTTCTTTTGCCTCCATGCATCTTCTGCACAGTACAGTTCGGCTGGGTGGCAATGCTCATAAAAACTAACTAATCACCAAAAACAGAGGGCAAATTGCAATAAATTTTATTATGTTACTTGCTTGTTCTCAATGCTTTAATTTCATATTTCAGCACGTGTTAGCAAACGGCGAGATAGCAAATCTTAATTAAATACTCGCTTTATTCCGCTTTACTGCTGACTGACAGGGTTGCCAGTTGCCAACTAAAAAAAAAAAACAATATTAGGGTAGTTATTTAATTTTTTCCTCTACCTTTTAGTGCTAATTTTGACCAATTTTTGTATTCAATAGAGATATAATTATAATTTTAAAGTTAGCTTGTTGTTGAGATTTAGTTTTATTTTCAAAAGTGCACTTATTATTACTTAGTGCATAAGATGCGGTGTTAACGTCGGCGGAGTAATTTGTTGCAGTTGGTACACAAACCTTTCGACAGTTCTATATTAATATGTATAAACTGACTTATAATATGTAACAAATGTACAACCACTTACATTGTCATACTAATAGCTAATAGTCCGACCTGTATCTAATGGCACCATATAAACGTAAATATTATCGTTCTAAATAGGGTTGCCTCTTATCTCTGGTCTGATAAATATTTTGGTTAAGCTTTTACCCGACTGTACCAGAAGGATCTTTTAAGTGTATGTATTTAACATATTTTATATAGGTATGTATTTCTGTTGTATATTACGAGTTAATCTCTAAGAGCCAACCCTGCTAAAATTCGCAGAAACATTTACATATTTGGTGTGACGTATTTGCTCGAGCATTTAACTCGAAATAAGATTTAGTAAATGAACTGGCGCTTCAAAGTTGAATGGAGTTCGAATTTTGGACTTTAATTTATAACACCGCATTCCATTTGCAAGAGAATGCTAAAGTAAATGAAGCAGATTCATAAGAATGTATTATTTATTCTTAGTAAGTATCAGCTTTTTGTTATTTTTAATATTTCGACCATTGTGAGACAATAATGTGGGCTAGAATTAATAACAAGAAGCAGCGAAAGAAACTAAGGCTGGGTTGCACCATCTTACTTTAACTGAGACAAAGGTCAAAATATCTGTCAAACTCCATACAAATTGCACCGGTAATTGTTATAGTTACGGTCAAAGTTAGGTGGTGCAACTCAGCCTTAGCTTCTAGTGTCAACTTCCATTTGAATTTTAACAATTTTACGTACAAGTAAGAAG